GCTCTTATTTTATGCGTTAGAAATAAAATTATTGGATGTATAAAGGAAATACACACCCACTATCACTGTGTACTACCTTCATAGAGAGAACATTTTAGCCAATAAGTTTGAATTGATCCTTGTTAACTTTATTTCAGAAAGTGGTAACGTAGCCGTGGAATATCGGCCTTTTGAGGAGCTCACTGATGCCAGAACCGAAGAGCTTCATGATTTAGTTCAAGTACATGAAAGAAAAACTCAAGGATGACATATACACAATGGTAGCAATTCAAAATAATGAGCAGATTTTAGAAGTGTTTAGCATGTGTAGGCAATTCTACCATCCCCAGAAAAATATGAAACTCTCAAGCTTTAGTTCAGAGAATTTCTGAAGTTTCCCTGAAGTCCTAGCCATTGGTTCTAAAGCCTTCTTTGAAATTTGGAGAGTTCTGAGTGCCCTCTGAGTTCTGTCAGAGAAATACCTTTTTGAACTCCTCTTAAACAGGATCTAGGGATTTGGGACCTTAAGTACGATTATGTTACAGCATTTGAAAAGTTACATTTTTTTTCAAGTATGATGTCATATCTAGAGCTCAGCATCTCATATATATCTTGTATGAAATATTTATATGAAATATGAAATATCTTTCTGTTAAGCCGATTGGTTAGGTTTGGTTTTTTTGGTGTTCCTTGAACAGGTCTCGGTAAAATTTATTCTGCCATTTCCAAAGCCTCCTGTTTTCATCTTGCTCTCTATAAGGCATGAATATATTGGTTTCTCATCACCCTGCTGGTGTTTGCATGTAGTGTTTGCTGATTTTTCTCTTTTTTTGATGGTTACCTTGTTCTTAAGAACCAAGAGATAAATTGATTATTTTTAAGATTTGCGGAGCAGAATGAAAACATGAATAATACTTTTAAGTTCCACAAACCATAAAAACTTGGGTTTGTTTCCTGTTCCCATTGATTTTGTTTTTTCCTACCATGATCCTTGTAATGAAATGGAGTGTGCCTTTTCTTGTTAAAAAAGAAAAGCTCATTTGAGTATGTTTTGTGTAATTTCTGAGTTGATAAATTGGACCTTCTTCAAAAAAGATCCTTAAAGTCAATGTCTTGCTATATCTGAAGAAGAAATATAAACTCTGTTTTCAAATTATTATGGGTGATAAATCCAAGACAGGCCCTTTTATAAATCAGATGTAAAATTTTAAAATGAGGTTTATAAAAATGGGCCACATTATAAACTTTTCCTGTTTTGGATCTCAGTGACAATATTTTGCACTTAAATACCTCTTATCTGAATTTTACAGGTTAAAAGGTAAGTAGCAGGAAGATAGTGTTTGGGAAGCATTCAGAAGTAAGCTTTTCTCTCCATTGTTCTGCATTTCTGGATTTTGATGCAATGCAGTATGAATTGTTTGCTTTCTTCAAGCTACATCCCTGCTCGACTACAGAATGGTGCTAACGAGTTAAATGAATGAATCAACTTGAAGGCTGATATGTGGATCCACAGTTCTGATTGGAATGTGGTTTAAACAGAAATTGTGTTGTTTTGTTCACACATTATTTACTTCTGCTTACCATTAGGTCTGCCACTAAAATCCATGGCTTAGATTTGAGTTCGTTGGTTTGATCTGAAGATGTATTGGTATGAAACTTTGTAGGTGCTAACCTCAGTTCTAGTAGTTTGTCTGGAGGAGCCCTTCCACCTCCATGGATGTAGTTCCCTTACTTTGGAAGTATAAAATTTGATATAAGCTGGTTTCCTAAGCCTGGGACTGGGGGAATGGCATTGCTGGTTCAGCACCTGGGAAGGATCTGACTCAGCATCAAAAACAAGGTTGGAGAAAGAGAGTACAGGGCGGAAGGTGCTGCTAAGGTGCTTGCCTTGCATACAACCGATCCTGGTTTGATTCCTGGCACCACACATATACCCCCTAGCGCTCCCAACAGTGATTCCTGAGCACTGATGTATATAACCAGAACCTTCCCCCTATAGTAAATAATAAGCATCAAAAACCCAATTTGAGTGGCATTTCTGACCTTTCGCTTTGAGTTTTTCCATCCAAACAAATGATCTTATCCTGTTAGTCCCTAAAATTCTGTTCCTGGGCTGGAGCGATAGCACAGCGGTAAGGCGTTTGCCTTGCATGCAGCCAACATGGCAACCCGAGTTCGATTCCTCCGCCCCTCTCGGAGAGCCCGGCAAGCTACCGAGAGTATCTCGCCCGCACGGCAGAGCCTGGCAAGCTACCCATGACGTATTCAATATGCCAAACACAGTAACAACAAAAGTCTCCAATGGAGACGTTACTGGGCCCGCTCGAGCAAATCGATGAACAACAGGAGGACAGTGATCAGTGATCAGTGATGAAATATTTTATGAAAGAACCTTTCTGTTCAACAATTGCATAGTATTCCAAATTAGGAATTAACTTGTTAATTTCCAGGAGAACATATGAATACACTATGTGTGTATTCTAGGGATGCTGGGGGGTGGCAAAATGTGTTTAATATCATTGGGAACAAATTTGGAGTTGGATATATGTAATTAACATGGCTCAAAGTCAGAAAATTTATTTCCAAAGTTAGGGAGTTAGGGGAAGATAAAAAGAGAAAAGGTGATTCTGTTCCTCTTGTTGAAAATCTGTTTTTTTCCTTTGTAAAATAAATTTTATTTGTGGGTAAGGTAGCGGGATTCACACTTGGTGGCGCTCAGGAATTACCCAGCCTGGCTCGTTGTTATAATCACTTGTGGAAGTGCTCGAGGGACCAGGTGATGGTAGGGATCAAATTCAAACCTTTCTTGTGCAAAGCATGCGCTCAATCTTTTGAACTATTGATCTAGTCCTGCAAAGAAATTTTTTAAATAGTTTAAATCAAACCCACCAAGAAAACTTCCAACACCTACAATTGGGTCTTAAAAGACTTAGCTTAGGAGCCTGAGACATAGTTCATCAGGCTGGAGCATGGACTGTGATGAGGGAGACCTGGGTTTGATACCTGCCACTGCATGGCCTCCTGAGCACTGTCAGGTACAGCGTCAAACACCTCCAGGTGTGGCCCCCAAAGAGACAACAATGTCCACCTTACTAAGAAAGGTGAGAAGACATTTCGTACTAATGCCAAAGAATTCAGAAAACGAACATCCATCCCTAAATGAGGCTACTCTTGGAACCAACTCCATTCGGGGCTCTCTACTCAACTAGAGAGTGGGAAGAAGCCCCTTCTCATGGAATTTATATTCTGGAAGTGTGAGATAATAAGAACTGATATGGATGAGAAGAAGGACTGTGAAGAAAGTAAAATGGGTACTAGTTACAGTATTGCAAGAGAGCCTTGTCACTTTCTGACGTGAACATCTTAAGTGTTCCCTCCGAGTGCTAGAAGGGCAGCCCTCTAGAAAGGAGCTTGCTCCTTTTTCTCCGTGAATTTATGTTGAGTTCCATGCAAGAAAGGGGGATTTCCCCAGGCCGGTGTAAAGGAGCGCATATGGCTGTTCATTCAGTTTAAGAACGGTCTTCCAGAATCAACTGTTTCTGGCCCCAGAGCCCTGCTTCAGAAAATGTTGTGTCCCTGATTCCGTGCTATCCCCTCTCTAGGAGAGTGATAAATAATCAGAGAGACTAAGAGCTTAAAGGAAATGACAACATTTGTGAACCCCCACCCACCCGAAGTAGTGCTCCTTTTGCAGGTCAACTGCCTTTCTTGGAAGCAGGATGGCCAAGGGGAGGAAGAATGTCTCTTGGATTTCAGTAGTGAGGAGGAAGCACCAAGACCACCACAGCTGGATTAGTGCTGTTGAATTCACCAGTGTTCCCTGTCTGGGGACAAGCTGTTCCTCCCCTACCCTCGGGGCTCCGCCCAGTCCCAGTCCTGTTGGGTGGCAAGAGTGGGAGGGGAGGCAAGGGGGGTGGGGTAGAGGACCTGATTGGATGTGTTTGGTGCCTTGGGGGAAGAAGGAAAGCCTGGGTCTTGCTGGCTTTAGATCCAATAAAGGTTGCTTAAAGGCTCATAAAGGTGCTGAGGGGGTGGGGCCCCCGGTTGTCAAGGGCCTGTGGTTGTCAAGGGCGTGGTTGATAAGGGCATGCAGGGGCAGTGCCCAGCTGCCTTAATCCTCAGGCTCAGGAAGACTACACTTCCTTAGCCATGAATGTGGGATTAAACATATTTATAATTCTTTACCTCTCCACCCATCTGCAGGGCGCTCCTCTCCGGGGGAGAGTCCTACCCCCAGTCCCCCTGGCCCCCAGCCCCCCAGGGCTCCCCAATCCCTGGCTTTCATCTTCCCCTGATCCTGCCGCTGAATCACCCCCTACCCTTCAGCCCCGGATTTCAAAACTCCCCGCCTTCCTTTTGGATCAAATTGGCGGGCACCATGTTGCTGAAATTGTTCCAACTCGCAGGAAATCTAGGAGACCTCGTCGTCGACCACAACCAATGCAGGAGGATTACTTCGATTCCAGTATGGATACCTTTTATCCTGAGGGGAGTCAACCTTTGGTGGGAGATTCAGAGAAACATCCACAGATTCGTCACGAGACTGGATCCTTTTCACCCCAGCCTCAGCATCCAGAAACCTTTGAAGAGCTAGAACAGCTTCCCTTTAAGGCCCTGGAAGCTGAACTTTCAGCAAGCACACAACAGAGCCCAGCTGCACTTCTAGGATCTCCCGAGGAATCAAAACCTGTGGTAGTTTCAGACTCAGATTTGCTGTCAAGTACCCCTGAAAAGGGTGATACTGCTTCAGTCCTGCCAGAAACCCTAGTTCAGCCTACATTGGCTTCCGAGGAGAGAGGATCTTCAGTGCCTCAGGAGGTGGAAGCTCAGCCTTTAGAGTCAGGTCAGAGTTTGAAGAAAGTTGAGCCCGTATCATCTTTGGTCCATGAGGTGTCAACGTGGCCTCGAGAGCCATGGCCTCGAGAGCTTGTAGGTAAACCATCAGACCATCCTGAATATGTGTCATCACCAAGTAAGAATGAGGCTCAACCCTTCAATGTTCCAAGTGCGAGGGAAACACTTGCAGACATGACAATTGACATGTTTGCAGAGGTCAGTAATGAGCGTCAGCCTTCTCCCGAGCAGCAGGAGGTCTCAGCTCAGACTCCAAATGAAGCAACTCCACAACCAGAAACATCGACAACATATCATTCTTCTCTGACACACTCTTCTGCCCTTCCTGCTGTACGACATGCTTCAGAAAAGGCACACGTAGATTTCCCTGAGCAACTGGAACAGAATGTCTCCATGACCTTTAACATATGTGAGCTCTGTACCTGCACAGATAAGACCCTCTCCTGCTCCGGTCTCAGTCCAGAGAAGAGGCTCCATAGAGTGCCTGTGCCAGGGCCCAACACCAACACCTTCACCGTCCTGTAAGAATCCCCTTTCCTCTGTTCTCTGCATTCTGCCTATTGACATAGCAAGCCTTTTCTTCAATGTCTCCCTGTGTCTGCCTCATCCCCCTGCCCACGTTAAATGATTTCCATTTTTTATCTTTTGTTAGTCAAAAGATATCCTCATTCTCCTTATCTGTTGCTGCTGCTTCTCTAGTCTTTTGGTTATAAACGTCCGTACCCTTTTTCCTTCTCTATTTTTATCTCACCATCAGCCTATCCTTCATCCCATCATCCACTCATTTAATTCCTTAACCTTTGTTTTCTTTGTGCTACAGCCTTTTTTTAAAAAAAAATAGTTTGTCCTCCTTATCTTTTATTGCTGGTGCCACAATCTTGTGCTTATGGACATGAATTCTGGAGCCAGATTGCCCGAGTTTGCATTTGTTAGCTTTGTTACCTTGGACAAGTTATTTAGCTCTGTGACTCAGTTCCCTTTTCTTGAGGTGGGGGTAATGGTAAGTTATCACCTCCTAATATTGTTGTGATACTTGTTGATTTTGATACTTATGAAGTTAGTACCTTGAAACAAGTTTAACATGAATCCCTATAGAGATGAGGCCAAGGTGGTGGAGAAGGGTTGACTGTGAGATCTAACCAGCTCCAATTGCAACAAAAGTAATACTATGAAATCTATGTAAATACTTTGGGCCAGAGTGATAGTACAGTAGGTAGGGCATTTGCCTTGCACGTGTTCCACCTAGTTCTGATCCCCGGCATCCCATATGGTCCCCTGAGCACCACTATCAGTGATTCCTGAGTGCAGAGCCTGGAGTCACACCTGAGTATTGCCGGGTGTGGCCTCCCCGTGAAACTATATACTTACATCAGGCAACTAGCATACACATGAATGCTGTCTGTATTCATTAATCTCTCATTTCAGAATTACAGTTGTTTACATCGACTTTCCATATAAAGCACCCATTTCCCTCAACCTAGCCACAACAATATGTCATCGGCTCTTAAACATGATGGTATTGGGGAGAAAGGGAATACACAAAAAGGAAAGGCAGCGTGTCACCAAGCACCAACAGAGGCACAGAAATGTACAGAATCTTGTCAGTTGGGGAAAGCTGCAGAGAGCTGACACAGAGCAACTTTAGCTGGGAATTAGAGGTTGATTTTTTTGGATCAAAAATTATTTATGTGCTGGGCATATAAAAAGCTGTGCATGTTTGGTATGATTTTTGTGTTTGGAGATATGTAATATGCTTGTAATATGAAACAGTTACGAATCTGTGCCTCCTTAAACATATCCCTCAACTTGGGGCTTAGACATCATAAAGCATCCAGAAGTCTTGAGTGGAAATGTTCACTAGGTTGGTGGGATAGGTTTCTGTTTCAACATTTTCACCCTGAAAACTGTGTATGTAAACTGATTAGGTTTATATTTGGATTATGTACACATTTGCAGCTTATATACACATGTTGCTGAGGGAAGTTGACAAAACTAGATTCAAAGTGATCCACAGAGTTAGTGTTTAAAACTGAACTCAGGGAGCCAGAGTCCTAGGACAGTGGGTAGGGCTCTTGCCTTGCATGTGGCCAACCCAGGTTCAATCCCGGACACCTCATAGGGTCCCCCTCCATCACTGCCAGCAGTTCAATGAAAAATTATTGACCCTGAGCGTGGAGCCAGGGGCAAGTCCTGAGCACCATCCCCCCCTCCACCAACTTCATGCGTCTATACATGTGTAAATTCATGAACATATTCTCTTTGTTACAATAGGTCAGTAAAGTAAACAGGATAAGGTGCAAAAATCCCACTTTCCCACTCTACCAGCTATTTGACTGCCGCGTGGTAACTTCTGTTACCATCTTGGGTTTCCTTCTACTCTCTTTCCTGTGCATTCCTCGCCACCCCCAATGAAGGTAGTTCTTTGTGATTTGTTCTTTTCCTGAGGCACGTTGAATATATCTCTCCTCACTAGTCCCCCCCTCACTTTCTAATTTCCGTAGTCTCTATCTAGAAATTTCTACTATCTTGAAATTTCAACAGAGAGCATTGACTTAAACCTTTGGTGTTCCCTGGCAATGCTTTAAAATATTTATTTGCTGATAATTTTGTTCATTTTTCTTTATATGATAATTATGAAATTATAATTTTCTCCATTGATTTGCAGTAGGAGTTACAATAGGTGTGAGTTTAGAAAAATGGCTTACAGGCTAATTAGCTGGCAGTATTTATCTATTCCAGGAATTAGGAAGTTCAGATTGTGAGATATTTCATTGTTTGACCAGTCACCCCACATCATGTCTTTAGTTGGGCATAATGGGAAACTCATAGCTATGGAGATAAGCTGGAGTATTCTGTGTTTCCATGATTCTTTTACTTATTCTGTTCATTCTTTTCCTACCTGTTCAAATCTGTGAACTGTGTTTCTTCACAGAGATTTCCAAGGAAACTCTATTTCTTCCATTGATGGAAATACATGGAAGGCATACCCATGGGTTGAGAAACTGTGAGTATATTCTCTCCAAATATGAATATTAAAAAATAATTGCACCATAAAATCCTCCGTAGTATACAATTTTAAGATCAACACCACATAGAAGCTATTTCGCCCTCATGTCCCAAAACAACCTCTCTTAGTTATAATAGTTTACTTCTTTAAAAAATTTTGGTTTACCAAGCTCTTACGTTAAAAGTCTTTTTGTTTTCCATTCCATAACTGGTAGAGTTAATTGTATACACACACGCACATATACATATAGGTATATATTTTGGTGATGTAGATGGTTTTTATTGAACTTATTTTAGAAAGATGTGAGAGGAGAAAAAGAGAAGTTCTAGAGAGAGCACACAGAGATGAGCAAACAGGAAATGTGTTCACAGGAGAACCTTGGCTTGAGTAGCAAGCCAACATGATTACTTTCTTTCTTTCTTCCTTTCTTTCTTTCTTTCTTTCTTTCTTTCTTTCTTTCTTTCTTTTTTATGTAGGAGTACTGCTATTTATTTAGCCACTGATTAGAACTCCATCTTACTTTTTTTCATTTTTTATAATTTTATTTATTGAATCACCATGAGAGCAGTTACAAAGCTTTCAGGTCTAAGTCTCTGTCATACAATGGAACACACTTGTACCTTCACCAGTGCCCATTCTCCATCACAAAAAACCCCAGTATACCCCCCTCCCATACCCTCCCCCTACCTGTGGGGCAGATGATTTCCACATTACTCTCTCTCTACTTTGATCACATTCAATATTTCAACACCAGACCCACCATTATTATTTGAGATTTTACCCCAACACTCAGATCTGTTGAAAAGGCAGCAGTAGACAATTTGTGTTCTATTGCTGGTTATGAATAACATATGATGTTGCGTGGCTGTAGTAGGGTCATGTGATTTTGCAATTTCAAAATTTTAACACTTAAATCTGGAGGGATTTCTGCCAAAAGCCACCGGGTTTTGAGATTTGCTCCTGAGTCTCTGGGATCATGGCCGTTGAGCAGCTTGATCAGGAGCCAGAGAGGCCGTTCTTGGGTGATGACTTGGGGTCTCATTGGGACGGGGAGACTAGGACCCGCTCCACCCCCATCCTGTGAGGCCCAACAAGTTTTGTCGCTGCAGGCCCAGACCTGACTGTCTAATGGCCTCTGGAGGATGATGGCCACTGAGCTGCCAAGGGGGCGCAGGCGGAGGGACAACACCCTTTCCCCCCTGGGGTGGCCCGGCGACAGTAACCTACTGCGGAGTCTGGACGCATTTCTGCCAAAAGCCACTGAGTTTTGAGATTTGTTTCTGAGTCTCTGGGATCAAGGCTGTTAAGCAGCTTGATCAGGAGCCAGAGAGGCCGTTCGTGGGCGATGACTTGGGGTCTCGTTGGGGTGGGGAGGACAGACCGGCTCCACCCCCATTCTGTGAGGCCCTGCATGTCTCGTCACTGCGGGCCCAAACCTGACTGTCCAGTGGCCTCTGAACGATGGTCGCCACTGGGCCAACAGGGGGAACAGGCCAAGGCACGAAACCTATTCCCACCTGGGTTAGCCCAGCTCTGGTAACCTACTGCAGGGACCAGACGCATTTCTGCCAAAAGCTGCTGGGTTTCAAGATTTGCTTCTGAATCTCTGGGATCATGGCCATTAAGCAGTTCAATCAGAAACCAGAGAGGCCATGCCTCCAATTATATAGCTGAGTCGGAGGTGGTTTGTAGGTATGTGGGAAACATACCTAACTTTTGTCAGTTTACTTTCTTGGTAAACTTTGCCCCAAGTTTTTGGGGTCTGGCCAAAGGCACAGCAGCAATTTTGGGGTATCTGGAAGTCTGAAGGTGCCATCAGGCTGCTGATGCTCTCGACTCACAGGTACATGATTACATTCTTCATTAAAAATTTTTAAATGATCCATAATGCGAAAGTAAATCTTCTGATTTGTTTTTTCTATAAATATAACAGCTACCACTTGATACTTTCACTATATTTTGCTTTAGACTTCTTTCCTTTAAGGTGCATAGAGGTTTACCCCATCTATTTAAAATCCTGTTTCATAATAATTCTATTGAAAGATGCTTTGATTTTTTTTGGTCACATGTATTACCGCAGCACAGGGCCTTGTGAATATGGGCAGATAGGTCTGTTAATTAGCTATTTAGAGATGGATTTGTTGGGCTGAAGAGTATATAGTTATAAAAATTTAATTGACCTCAAAATAGTTGTGCCAGTTCATGAAAGTATTGTTTCTCCATGCCCATCCACCTCTGGGCATTCTTTATTTTGGGGCTGCCCTGATGAATCAATAAAAGGGATCCCATCCATATTTTAATTTTATGGTTAGTACAATGGGTAGGGCGTTTGCCTTGCATGGGGCCAACCTGGTCAACCGAGTTTGATTCCTCCGCCCCTCTCAGAGAGCCTGGCAAGCTACAGTGAGTATCTCGCCCACACGGCAAAACCTTGCAAGCTACCCGTGATGTATTCGGTATGCCAAACACAGTAACAAATCTCACAATGTTACTGGTCCTGCTTGAGCAAATCGATGAACAGTGGGAGGACAGTGACAGTGCTATTAAATAACACATATTGACATACCTAATAGCCACCTGTATGTCTAACAACTAACTTCAAATTTGTGATGAAGAACCAAAAGATTGAGATGTCTATAACAAACGCGATGTGAAAAATATCTGTGGTTTGTATTAGAGGCCAAATGAACAATTTGCTAATCTGTCATTGTCAGTTGACATTCCTAATATGAGAAATGACCGTTTTAGGGCCAGAGCGGTAGTACTGTGGGTAGGGTTTTTGCTTTGCATATGGCCTACCAGGATTCAATCCCCACCACCCCATAGGGCCCTCCAGCCCTGCCAGGAGTGATCCCTGAGCACAGAGCCAGGAATAAGCCATGAGCACAGCCAGGCGTGATCTAAAACCAAAACCAAAGGCTGTTTCAGTGCGTTGGAAATAATTGTATTTTCATCCAGGCTATGACCTCAGACCTAGAGAGAAAGTCTACAAATGGAAATCGCTTGCATACTTTTCTAAACATTAAAAAAAGTAGAATTTTTTTTTAAATAATTTTGCTCTGGTGCCACACAGTGGTGCGCAGGGGTTATCCTTAGTTCTGAAAGGTGAAATTTTTCTAAACAAAAGGGGACATTGGAGCAGGGAATCTAAACCATAATTGGCAGCAATTATCGGTTTCCAACATGGAAGTCCTCAACAGACTATACAAACTTTCCAGTTCTGGGGCCTGGGCTGGGGGCAAACCGTGTGGAGACTCCCTTTTACATTTGATCCTTATAAGGTAAAGGAGGGAAGAGAAGCCGAATTTCAAGTCTTTGTTTGAAAATCTTGGATAGCTTTCCTGCCCTCTGGTCCTGCCTTCCAAGGCAACCCAATTCCATGGACCAGTATCAAATTCTCTGCCTCTGGAAAGGCTTTAAGCTTTGCAGACTGCTGACCTGAGTTTGAGCACCCCATATGGTCCCTTGAGCACCACCAGGAATGATCCCTGAGCGAAGAGCCAGGAGTAACCACTGAGCACTTCTGGGTGTGGCCCCACAACAAAACAAAGCACCGAAGAAACCCCCCAAATAATGTTCGTTCAAGTCAGGGGTGTGTGTCAGAGGAGGGTGTGATTGGTAGGGGCACGCTTGGGGCCTCTGGGAAGCTGGGTTCCTTGTCAGGAACGTGTCTTGGGGCCTTCGCTTTATTGGCCTGCTCTTTTTTGTTGGGGGGGGGGGTGCACAGCTACTGGTTATGGGCTGACTCCTGGCAGACGTGGGGGATCTATGGGGTGCCGGGTCCGACCCAGGTAAGCCACGTGCAAGGCAAAAACCCTCCCCACTGTACTATTGCTCTGGGCCCAAATGTCATGTGCACTTTGTGCACGTTTTCCTTCCCAGAACAAAACAATTTAATGGTGTTAAGTTTCTTAGGGCTTCCTTTCCAGACTTAATTTCATTCTTCATGGGGGACTCAGAGTAATGTTTGGGAAGAGAGCAGGGAGTGGCAGCCCTGTGTTTCTGGTGTCACACAGAATTTGGATCTGACAGATTTTGTGACCTAGAGAATATGCTTTATATAGGTTACTTGGTGAGAAGAGTCAATAGCTGTGTTCGTGTTCATGATGCATCTAGGTGAGGACAAAATAAAGAGTTTAAACAGAGGCCACTATCCCTAAGTTAAATAAGAATTGGGATATTTAGATAGCACCATTATTATGTGTAAGAATAGTCCTGTGCACAGCTGCACACGCTAGGGGAAAAGGCAGCTCAGCTAGAGAAGGGAGCACCAAATAAAGGGCGTCGGGTGGTTCTTCTCAGGATGGGAAATGCATGATGAGAGTAGACTATAGACCGAACAAGATTGCCACTCAATGTCTCTTTTGCAAACCACAGCACTCAAAAGGAGAGAGATAAGAAAAGGGATGCCCTGCCACAGAGGTAGGGTGGGATGGGAGGATGGGGGGTGGGAGGGATACTGGGACTGGTTGTGGTGGAGAATGGGCACTGGTGGAGGGATGGGTATTCAATCATTGTATAACTGAAACCCAAGCACAGAAATTTGTAAGTCTACAGCTGTACCTCATGGTGTTTCACTAATAAAAATTTAAGAAAAAAAAATAGTCCTATGTAATAAATAGTCATAGTTATTTTGCATTTTAGACCAGAAATAATTTTTCCATTTTTCAGAATACTCAGTGACAATTCTTTGGCAGAATTACGTAAGGATTCATTTGAAGCCCTTCCAAACCTCAAGTACTTGTAAGTTAATCATTTATTTATGAATTTTTAGCTCTGTTTTTAAAACAAGGGGGTGTGCAAGTTAATCTTCATCCTTTTTTCCAGCAATAAAATTTTGTAGTTTTGTAAGTATGGCATTAAAAACCTCTCATGTCATTTCTGACACTAAATTACATTTGCATATATATATATATGATGTCGGTGGGCCCCACGGATGACTTATGTGAAGCGGGGTCTCGCAGAAAGGAATTTCAGGAGTAGACAAGCAGTGAGTGAAGTTAATGGATTTTATTTGTAGGATTTTTAGGTGCGGAGGGGGAGAGAGAGAGAGAGAAAGCGAGAGAGAGAGTAAAGTTAGACACGAAAGAATGAAAGTACACATCTGAAGAGGGGAGATGCGGGCCACACATGTGCTCAGACACCACATGTGCTCGGCCACGTGGGCGCAAGCAGCACATGGGCTCAGGCAGCATATGTGCGCCCTTCCTTTGTTCCAGGTGGCCTTTATAGGGTTTCTCCAGCCTGCCCCCACGTGAGGCCTCTTTCCAGGTAAAAGTCCGTTGCTAAGGAGGTTACCAGGGAGGTCCAAAAAGAGGAATTCCATGGGGAGGCCTATATCCTGAGGGTCTGGTCTTATCAGGCCTTTGTTTTCTGTGTCCACAAGGTGGGTCATTCCTAGAATTCTTCTTCCATGAAACTTTGTTTCATTGCAAAGGGCCTTTCCCTATCTACCTGCCTACATCATATATATATATGGACATATATGAAAAAAAAAACTTTAGGCTTACTCTTCAAGCCCATGTTCTCCCTGGATCATGTAATTTGCTTACTTGTCCTCATGTCTCTCTGTCTGCTTTTTCTGCTCTGAGAAGCCGTGTTATCTCATGAACACATTCTTTCTCTTTCCCACCCCCCCACATCTTTCTAAGAAAGTTTCTTTCGATGTAAACTATCTTGCTTCACAAAAGTGTTTTTCAAACTTTACTAATAGATGAAAAGTACTTATATCTGCTCCACCCATAGAAACCTAAGTGCTAATATACCATCTCCTCCGTGTTCATATAGAGTTCCTTTATGGATCAAATCCAATGCATGGTCCAGTTTTACCTGGCCCATTAATTTAAGAATTGTTTTTGTCAGCTGAGGAGATTGCACAAATGATGAGTGTGATGCTTTGCAACAGGAGGCCCGGGTTGGATTTCCAGCAGGACACAGTTCTGGGCTCCCCAGTCCCTGACTCCCAGTAATATCCCTGAAGTAGACCCTGAGCACTACTAAATAAAAACAAAAATCTATGCAAATATGTTCGTTTTTATTTTTTAATATTTATTTATTATTTATTGCTTTTTGGATCACACTCAGCGATACTCAGGGGGTACTCCTGGCTCTGCACTCAGGAATTACTCCTGGCAATGCTGGGGGGACCATATGAGATGCTGGGGATCAAACCCGGGTCAGCTGCGTGCAGTGCAAGGCCAACGCCCCACTATCTCTCCTGCCCATGTTTTATTTATTTTTTAATTTTGTGTATGAAGCAAGGTAGTTTTTATTTAAACTTATTTAGAAAGATGTGAGGGAGAGAAAGTAAGAAGTCTGTGTTCGAGAGAGAACACAGGCTCTCCAGAGTGGAAAAAAGCAAGCAAAGAAACAGAAAGAAACAAGTGAGATATTTAGGGCATGAAGAGCAAGCCAGGTGCTTTTATTCAATCCTTCCAAAAGGGTTGTTTTTTCCTGGAATTTTGCATACTTAAACTTCATCTGGGTGTTTTCACAGGAATGCCTTACGCTGTTGATATTCTCTTTGTTATCTCATGGATTCTTGTGTAACTTCTTCTCTGAGGGGGACCAGCCTTTTCTGGGTGGGACCTTGGAATTTTGCATCCTGGTGATATCTCAGTTTCTCTTCAAAGAGCTCAGAATTTGTATGTCAAATGATGTGATTGTCGAGCTCTTGGGATGCATGCAAGGCAAAGGCCCCACCAGCTGTACTATTGCTTCAGCCCATGGTTTTATTGATTTTGTTTTTTAATTTTGTGTGTGAAGCAAGGTAGCTTTTATTAAAACTTACTTAGAAAGATGTGAGGATTTGTATTTCAAATGATGTGATGGACAAGCTCTTGGGCTACTTTGGGGCTAGAGAATTTCTTCTTTAGTTTTATTATTCCCCCAAAGTACATTTCCAGGGCCCCTCACCCTGCCAGCTTGCACCAGCAGGAACGGGAAAGCAGTCCCAGCCTCATCACAGGCAATGTGGGTTCACCGCCTGTCCCTTGCAGGAAAGAATTTAAAGAGGTGCAACAGTGAAGCAGCATAGATTTATTGAATGTAAGGTGCTTAGGAAGATGTGGGAGGAGAGAAAGGAGGGTGATGTTGGAGAGGGAGCACCAGCTTTTCCAGCGTGAAAGTGAAAAAGCAAAGGAACATAGAGACTAGCAAGTGAGATACATGGGAGAGCACAGCTTGAAGAGCAAAAGAAAACTATGTGTTTGTAAAATCTACATTTGTGTTTTTCTGTAAAAAAAAAAAGAAAAATTAAAATATGCTCTGCAAAATCTAGAATATTATTATTTTTAAATTTCTGGCCTTTCTACAAAACTTTTAAAAGCTGGTTTAATAAAAAAACTATTTAAAAAATAAAATAAAAATAAACCTGAATTATAAAGAAAATAAAGAACTTGAATGCCATTAGCCTAGAATTTTAAAAAATTTTTAGTTTTCTCATTGTGATTTGCAATACAACATTCTAACACCCTATGTCAACATATTTTCGAATGATCTATGACTTAAACGAACATTTATATGGGAAATACGAGGCTAATACAGATGGATTCTATAGCAGTAGTATTAAGAGCAGAGGAGGTTATCACGAGGAGAGTTCTGGTGATAAAAATTCCAGTGTAGGAAATGTTGGGCGATTGTCAGACAGACATCTTGGACAGAATCTCGTAAAAAGAGAGCAGGAGAGAGGTAAAACACAGGAAAAACACCTCAGTGCTCTCAGAAGACCAAGAGAAAGAGGAGGGACATAGACCCAGGTGTTGTAAGCCAGGGCTAGCATGCTGAGCTTCCTCGTGCCCACCTGCGCTGGGGCACTCAGGCCTGTAGCAGATCACTGGGTGGGCCTGTGAAATCCCCCACCACAGTTCCTGCTTCAGTTGATTTGGAGTAGGTTGGTTTGAGAATAGGCGTCTTCAATCCGTTCCCAAGTGAGGCTGGTACTTGAGAAGGTTAATACATGACGGTGTGCATTGTGTGTTGGAAAAGGAAATACTGGGCCTTGCTTCTGCACATGGGTGACCCAGGTTTGATCCGTAGCACCATGCAAGATCCCTTGAGCACCCTCAGAGTGATCTGTGTGCAGTCAGGAGTAAGCCCTGAGAACTGCCAAGGAAGGAAGGAGACCAAGAAGGGAGGGAGGCAAGAGAAGAAGAGGGATGAGCTAGGAGATAGGTATACCCATCTTGGTCATATGTGAAAGAACTTAAGTAGAATTCAAAGATACAGAACAGTCACTTGTAGTCAAATCAAAGTTCAGTACTCTGATTTTCTTTGTTCCACCACTGTACAATTAAAGCAGTGAAATTCATGGAATATTCAGAAAATGTAGAACCAAGAATTGAATTTCTATGATGATAGAAAAGTTTAATTCTAAATTAGTTCAAAGTTCTGTCTAAAAGGATTTTCATATTATATGAAAAAGGCTAATTTTTTCTAGGCCAGTTTCTGTTAGCCTAGAAAACAGCTACACAGGAAGGTATATAAACATGAGACTGTTCATTTGAATATTGAAATAACTATATTAAATATAGTAATTTTACATGAAGATAAAAAACTCAACCCCTTCTAGAACATAAAATCACCTCATCAATTCTCTGCTCCGAGAAAAGTTTAACTCCAATATTAGAACCAAGTAGTCGTACATTTTATTCATGAAGATGTGTGGTTGAGAAAAAGGAAAGCCAGGTTAGGGATTCTGGAACATTCAGATCTACTCATTCAATATTTATTTTGACTTCTACTAGTTATTCCTAAAATTAGATACTTGGTAGTTAATTGAAGCAATGTTTTCCCTTTCCTTTCCCTAGAGACTTATCCTGCAATAAAATACAGTTTATTGAAAGGCGGACATTTGAAGCAGTACCGTATTTGCAATCTGTGTAAGTTCAAAATATGCTTCATTATTTTTGGATTTTTTTTTTTTGCTTTTTGGGTAATACCTGGTGATGCACAGGGGTTACTCCTGGCTCATGCACTCAGGAATTACTCCTGGTGGTGCTCAGGGGACCATATGGGATGCTGAGAATCGAACCCGAGTTGGCCATGTGCAAGGCAAACACCCTACCCGCTGTACTATCACTCCAGCCCCTATTTTTGGAATTTTTGTAACACTTAATTGTCAGCCTCTGTTATTCAATTTAATATTATTAGAACATTTAAAAGTGGCTACTAAAACTGTACAGCAAATCCTTTTTTGCCTGTAAGTAACGATTACAATGGCCCTCAACCAGGATGATTTTGTACTCATATGACCCTTGATAGTGTCTCCAGGTAGTTTTTTTATTGTTTTGATTGCCAGATCTGTAATGATGCTGTTGGTATCTAGTAAGCAGAGGCCTCCAGATACACTGCAGAATATCTACAATGTACTGGACAGCGCCCCCCCCCCCCCCCAGTTATCCAGCCCCCATGTGGTAGTAGTGCTGAAGTCATGAATCCCTGTCCTAGAGAACTTAATTACTTAAGTATTTGTTAAAATACTTAATACAAAATTTGCTATTTTGCGTCTAATGCCCCCACAGCATCATAAACATCAAAGAATAAACCTTAAGCTTAGGTCGTCCACAGTGATGTTTAGCACATGAAATGTGTTTATGTGAATTAGAAGTTATGCTGGGTGTGACCCAAAAACCAAAAAAAAAAAAAAAAATTCGTCCTTCTTCTTCCTTCTTCTTTCTTCCTTCTTCCTTCTTCTTCTTTCTTCTGCTGCTGCCACTGCTTTTATCTTTTTTTTTCTTTTTTTTCTTTGGTAGGAATCTTAGTTGCAATTTAATCACCGAACTGAGCTTTGGAACGTTTCAGTCCTGGCATGAAATGCAGTTTTTACACAAAATGTAAGTGAAAAAGCAGATAAATATATATATAATAAAACTGCATAACCTCATCGTACAGTTATTATTAGCTAAGTGGCATAAGGCCAGTGTGAACTCTAACAAGTGTGTCTTGAGATCAGTCCCTTTTTTCAAATGAGGAAACTAAGGAACGAAGAGGCCAAGAGATTTGCATGGCGCATGGCATGCTTTGCTTTTACCTGTTACTGATGATTGGCATGAGCACTAACAGAAAGGCATCCGTTAGCATTGTCTTGTGATTCCCACTGGTGCAGCGCTGACCTGTGAATGAGGCTTTAAATTCCCAGTTTAATTCCAACTTTGGTTCCTGTTCATGTGCAAAGTTCCTAACCACTTAAATGTATGCAACAAAGAGCTGGGAAGAACTAGATATAGCAGTTTTTACTGGGAGTTGGCAGGGAAGGAAAGTTATGGATTCTTTCATAGCTGGTAGCTTCTTTTACATGGTGAAGCAGAAGAGTTCCTGAACGTCTGTCTTAGCATATTTCCCTCCTAAGAATCCCGAACATTATTTTGAAGAAAAAAATGATATATATATAAATTGAATTCACTGTGCTCAGTATAAACCTTTGAGCTAGGGCAAAAGGTGGAAAAAGCTATGGTAAAGACGTTCAATAGTCTTCACACCTGGCAGTGCTGGGGAGGGACCAGGATCACTCCTGGCAAAACTGGCATCACACTGGCCAGCTGACCTAGAAGGAGGCCATGTATGGCACCTGGAGTTCTGTGGTGCGGTGGAATCAAACTCTGGGCCTTATACATGGCAGACATGTGCTCTATCTCTGAAACTATCTCTCTGACCCCAGAAGCGTTTGTGTTACGTCAGACTGAGTGAAAAGTATTCATCAAAAATACGTTGCTGTTGTCTAATTTCATTATACTTACTTTTCTGATTACTCGTCTGTAAGAAGTCTGTGGTTTTATACCCTTTGGGTGAAAAGTTCTCTCTGATTTCTCTGATTTGATGTGACACAAGCAGATCAAAGTTCAGAGACATAAAGGAAATTCTGTACTCAAGCGGAAGATCCTCCTTTGAAAACGAGTTTTCACCTGCTTGTGTTTCAGAAATCCAGTTTTACACAGTTTCCTGCAGATTCGATGAAGGTAGGGCAGGAAGGCAGCTCGGTGATTCTTCATGGGTATAGACCTGAGTTGACTCCCCGGAAGACCAGTTTAGTAAGGAGCAGGCTTAGAGATAATAGTTACCTCATTGTTTTAATGCCGCATTTTTACTAAGCATTTTATTATACCAGGCATCATAAGAACCTCAGTTTCGGTATAGTTTTATAGGAGACGGTGGGGGTTGGGGGCGGGGAAACGCATCATAGTTCATAAAAGTTAAGACATTCAAGAGCATTCACAGAGTGACATTTCTTCTGAGCGTCAGGCCTGTCTATACAGAAGAAGAAAGCAGGGTGTTTGTCACCAAGAACCTTAAATACTGAAGGAAAGAAGACAGATGCTGGTGGGAAAGCATGAGAGCCCCACTGCTAGTCCAGACGGCAGGGTAACAAGATAGCGGGATGACACTGGAGATAACGGTGGGTGGTATACTAAGAAAGACTCATGATGAATGAGGTTGAGGAGACAGCTCAAAGAGCTGGAGTCCACGCTTTGCACTGCCAGGAGTGACCCCCATTCACACCTCAGAATGTGCCCCCCCAAAATGAGAAGAAAACCCAACAAATTGAAAATGGAGAAGGTGATGATTTATTTGCATTGCAGCACAGCGGTAGGGCGTTTGCCTTGTGCACAGCCAGCCCAGCCGAGCCAGGTTCGATTCCTCCGCCCCTCTCGGAAAGCCCGGCAAGCTACCGAGAGTATCTCGCCCGCACGGCAAAGCCTGGTGAGCTACCCGTGACGTATTCAATATGCCAAACACAGTAACAACAAGTCTCAAAATGGAGACGTTACTGGGCCCGCTCGAGCAAATCCATGAACAACGGGAGGACAGAAATACAGAGATACTGAAATTTTACTCTGAAATGAGAGAAAAAGGTAATGAAAGAATCAGAGATACCTGGAAAGAAATGATCATCCCTGTCATGTGATTTAAATAGAACTAGCTCCTACGACCAATTCGGTCACCTCAACAGATTCTCACGGAGTCTGGGGAGATAGTGCACGCTTTAGTGCTGGAGCCCGAGGGTCAAGCCCCTGCACGACATGGTTCACCAGCACTGCACCAAGTGACCCCCAAACACCAGTGATGGCACTACCCACCCCAGCACCGAATGTGTTGGGGCCCGAATGTTTTGGGGGGTAGGCTCCTTTCTTTGGGTCCTAATTTTTCTAAATGACCAAGCTCATTCCTTTCAGGTACAATTTGCCTGTGTGATCAAAACTCTGTGACTGGAGCACAATTACCGTGGATGCGTGGCTTGCGTTGCACATGGATGACCTGGGTTTAAGCCTCACCACCCCACAGGGTCTTCCTGAGCTTAGCCAGGAGTAAGGCCTGAGCACCCTGCCATGTGTGGCCCAAAAACAACAAGGAAAAAAAAGCTGTTACATCTCTTTCCAAAGGCCAGGGATGCTAGTCCTTTAGTTACGTCACTTTATGGCCTATCTGACAAATGACTGGGTTGATTAGAAGCTGGGTTGATCATGATTTACTCCCTGCATTAAATATACCTGGGAAGAGCTCGAGATGAGAGCCAGAGAGAGAGCTCAGTGGGCTGAGGACCCGTCAGATGTAATCAACCTAAGCACAAAAGAAAACAGGCCCAGCTGAGGTGAATTGATGAGGAAGCTGAACTCCAAACCTTACTTGCAAGATCTCGGGGAAGATCCCAGCAATTTTTATATTCATAATTTTGCATTTCATTTATTTTGTTAAGCAGGGTTTTAGTAAACTATATAAAATTCAGGGCCCACAAAGCCTTGATTCTTCGTGGATTCCGGGTAGTTATCATTCAGTGAGTTTCTTGAATGAAGCATCTATAATATTAATAAACACTGAGAGGTGAACACATTATCAGTTGAATGAGTAACAGGTCACCTACAGTATGCCATAATAATTTGCAACTACATTAATAAATTTTCCATAAATTGCCAGAATATTTATAAGATGCCATTTTTTAAAAAAACTTTTATTAGTGAAACACCATGAGGTACAGTTGTAGACTTACAGATTTCTGTGCTTGGGTTTCAGGTATACAATGATCGAGTACCCATCCCTCCACCAGTGCCCATTTTCCACCACCACGGATCCCAGTATCCCTCCCACCCCCTATGTCCCCCATCCCACCCTACCTCTGTGACAGGGCATTCCCCTTTGTTCTCTCTCTCCTTTTGGGTGCTGTGGTTTGCAAAAGAGGCATTGAGTGGCAATCATGTTGGTCTATAGTCCACTTTCAGCATGCATCTCCCATCCTGGGAGGATCCTTCCAAAATCCTTTATTTGGTGCTCCCTTCTCTATCTGAGCTACCTTTTCCCCTAGCATGTGTGGCTGGCCTCCAAGCCTTGGAGTGAACCTCCTGGTACTTACCTCAGCTATTCTTGGGTGTTAGTCTCCTATTTTGTTTGTTACTTTATGTTCCCCCGATGAATGCAGTCTTTCTATGTCTGTCCCTCTCTTTCTGACTCCTTTCACTTAGCATGATACTTTCCATGTAGTACCACTTGTATGTAAATTTCATGACTTCATCTTTTCTAACAGCTGCATAGTACTCCATTGTGTAGATGTACCAAAGTTTCTTTAACCAGTCATCTGTTCTCGGGCACTCAGGTTTTTTCCAGATTCTGGCTATTGTAAAGAGTGCTGCAATAAACAAACAAGTGCAGATGTCACTACGGCTATGCTTGTTTGCCTCTCTGGGATATATTCCTGGGAGTGGTATTGCTGGGTCAAATGGGAGCTAAATTTCTAAATTTTTGAGAATTGACCATTGTTTTTGAAAGGGTCCTAATCATATCTCTTACAGATGAAATCAGGAATGAAGTATGTTATGGAAATCCAACAGTGTTTGCTAATCCTAAATGTTCAGTTTTGTTTTTTTTCCTTTTGCTTATGTTTATGGGCCACACCACCATGCTCAGGGGTTGTTCCTGGCTCTCCTCTCCGCGATTACTCCTGGTGGTGCCTGGGGGACCATATGGGATACCAGGGATCAAACCCAGGTCAGCTGTGTGCAAGGCAAACGTCCTACCTGCTGTACGATTGCTCTGGTCCCAAGTAACTTTTTTTTCTCCTTCTGACTTTCAAGTGTTTCTTCGTTCACCTACACAGGTCTAGACTGCTGGCTCGTTTAAACAATTCTTTTAGTCATTTCGTCGGTTCGAACGATACAAGTTCCATGATGGTAGCAACTGAAGACTTGACAAAGTGCAAAGGCGCTGCCGTACTCAGACAGAGCATGTGGACACTCTGGCTTGTTTGTGGAACTTCAGTATTTTGCCAAGACATAAGAACTAAGATAGAACAGAGGAAACCCAAAACTTGTTCCCACTGACCACGTGACCCCACTGTGGAGATGATCAGTGAGGTGGGGAGCTGCACTGTGAAGGCAGACGGAGCTGTGGTCAGGGCGAAGCCCTCACTCTCTCCCCGCCACAAGGCGTAATGACCTGTCTTTAGATAAAGTGTCCACACAAGAGCTTACTCGAAGGCATTGTTATCATTTGGGGTTATGTTCTGAACTCCTGGCAGCAGCTTCTCCTAGTTCAGAAGCTTCTACCTTAAAGATGAAGGCCGCTCAGGACCTTGGAATGGTTTAGGGGTGACTGGTGGGAAAGTTGAGGAGTTCATCACATTCAGCAACTACTCTAGTCTCCCAAGTGCATCTTTTCCTCCCATCTTTGCAAGGAGACATCTTCTGTTTAAACTTAGTACTGCTGCCAGAGCACTGCCAGGGGCCATTCCCGAGGACCACCCAGATGTGGTCCAGCCACACTCTGTAGTCTCCCAACAACCCCCAACCCCCGCCAACATGTTTAGCTTTCCTCCTCTTTATTGTTGCAAAATGTCTGAGGGTCATAC